GACATTTGGCAGACAGTAGGTGGCACTCACAGGCAAAATAAATCTTCTTTTCTTGCTTCTCCCTCTCCCCGGGGCTCTTCCTTAGCCCTGCTCCGTGTCTTGCACTGGAGCACCCAGGTGAGGAGGCAAGAAGCGTCACCAACACGTGCAGCAGGAGCTCGCGCTGCTCGGAACGCTGCTCTGTTCTTCCCTTCTGGTCAGGAGAACCTTTCTGAGTAAATTTGGAGAAAATTGGATATTTTTAAAGGTATAATTAGGTTATTGCTGTAGGTGCCTATTAGTGCTTTGGCGTTTCCTGCTCCCTACGGTTTCCCATGGGGAGGGTTAGACAGACCCTGCCCGTCCCGCGGGGTCTGCGGGGAGCGGGTGACCGAGGCAGTACCCGCTCTGCAGACTCGCACCAAGGCACTGAACCACTGTGTCTTTTTTTTTTTCCTAATGTAAAAGAGATGAGTTAAATTCTTCAAACCTTCCCTATTTGCCTCTGATTTGTGCTGTCTTTTCATAGATTTCCAATTAGGCCTTTCAGTAAAATACACCCTTCATGGATAGAGTCCTTTTTCAGAATTTATCCGACTTCTTTCCTTCCTCCAAATTAGCAATTCAATATACGGCTTATGTTGAGGATGGAGGCTGTCCTGGGCTCGCCCTCAGAAGCCCATTCCTTCTGAAGTCTTCATTCCCTTCATCTGAAGTCCTCAATATTCTCGGTTGAACCTCCCCTGAGTGAGATTTCCTCAACTTCTCAGAGCACTTGGATTCCTCTGCAGGGCCAGGGGCTGTACAGGGAGGAGCTGTGTGCCTTGCAGATCTCATCTCCTATAGGAACCTGTAGTTTGAAAGTGCTAACCCATATGGTAAGAAACTACAGAATCAGGGCAGGGGAAGGTGCACCTTGCTCTGATTTGTTCTGCTCATCTGGATCCATAAATTTCCTCTGTGGTTTAGTGTTGATATCTGTGTTCTCCTTCCCTGCAGGCGCTATTCATAAACCAATTCCACTAGGCTGTTTTGCTGCTCATGGCATTGGCTAATGTTGATATTGTTTTGTTGACAGGCAAATATTAGCAAAGCCTTGAAGTTCCAGTCACCTCATAATATTGTATCTTCTGTTTTCGGTCAATGTAAAGCAAAACAGAAATTCTTTAGAATGCAGTGAACTCTATTTTGGAGATGGGTTTATGAGTTTGCAGTTTATTTGCCTATAGCTATAAGGTTTAGGAATGTTTCTAAACAAGTGTTTATTTTTCAGGTTTAAATGGAACATGCAATAACTCTAGTGTACCAACATCGACTTCAGAAATGCCAGATTATTTATTGTAAGTTGCTCGATTACTGCTCATATTTATCAGTTTATCATTTGGGGATCAGGCTCCTAGCTATTGCGCACTCTGTGCTAGTGATTCTGCTGTACCTGTTACTTGAAAAAAAAACTTTGCAAGATGAGTTTAAAAAAAGCCAGAAAGGTGAATCTGATCTTAGGAATATTTCCTGAAACGAAACGTAGGATCTGATCTGTTCCTTCCCTTCTTACGGAGTTCAAGGTTACCTTCCTATAAACAAGTTGCCCGAGTGCCTTAGGAAACTCCATATCTGAGGAGGGTTGGAAAGTAGTAAACATGTCCATGTTGTACATAGACTAAGAGGAGGCGATCTGCTTTAATGTTATTAAATATGGTGATGGGTGCGGGTCCCTGCCGCGCCGCGGCCCGGCTCTCCGTGCTGCCGGCTCCGCTCTGCGGGACGCTCGCTGCTCGGGGCCGTGCAGGGTTTGCTGCGGTCACAGGGCTGGGGTTTTGCTGCTCTCAGCCGTTCAAAGGCTGCTCGGAGCGGGTGCCGTTCAGAAGCAGGAGGATGGCTCGTGTTTCTGCAGCACCGGTTGTGCCGCGCGGATCCATCCTGCACAGAGATCCCTGCTCCTAGAGCTCAGCTGCTTGTGGCTCCTTTTGGACCATCCCAGTGTTTTGGTGCTCAGCTCCTTAAAGGGGAGGGTTGTCACTGCTCTTGTGGCTGTGGTGACACCTCGTACTGCTGAGGACAGCTGCCCTCTGCACTCAGGTGTTACTCCAGCCCCTAGCAGGAACTCAGAGGTCTTGAAGGCCAGAGCTGCCTTAAGTTAAGGCAGTGATAGTTTTTCTCTGATTAACTTGATACCTAAGCTGGACTATGTGTGTTCTTGCACATAGCTATCACTATTGCTGACAGTAAGGAGGTAAATTAGAGGGGTCACCTGCGAAAAGCTGAGCGTTGCCATCAGAGAGGACGCGCTGCTGGGCCTTCTGTGAAGTGTCAGGTTTAATAGGCTTTTGTGGAGCTGAATAACTTCCCAAAGGCCTCGGAGGCACATCTGTTAGCCATGAGCTCTTGGTGTTGTGTTCCATTCACGCTGGGTATCTTTGGAAAGGAGCAGGGAGCGATTCAGTCTATTCAGCATGGTTTCTTACCCTGCACTTGCCACGTAATCGTCCTGTGAGCGTTTTGCAGCGATAGCCGAGTGTTGTTGTGTTCCTTCCCTTCACACACTCCTAGCACTGGAAGCATCGTATTCATGCTGTTCCAAGGTCTGGTACGCACGTACATCTCAATGTTCGCCTTGGAAAAGCTGTAGCAGAGCTATCTGAGCGTCCTCCTCCGCCCTCGGCCGCTCACGTGCTTTGCTGTACCTGCATATTCCATCCTGCCCTGCAGAGATGGGGAATTCTGGAAGCAAACACTGCCTTGTTTTGCCTAGAGGTCAAGGCCGTAATCCTGACACTTATCTCATTGCTACCATAATGAAATCCCGAGATTGTATTAGCTTTCAAAATCAGTCACCTGATTTTGTCCCCCTGTTTTTGGCACTTCAGTCATCTTGCTGCCTGGAGAGAAGAGTTAATTCTAAACTGATTAACTGAATTATTTTCCCTCTAGAAAATATGCAGCCATTTCCTCTTTGGAGCAGCGTCAGAGTTACAAAAATGACTTCAACGCAGAATACAATGAGTACAGAGACTTGCACGCCCGGATAGAGAGGATAACTGGACGCTTCACGCAGTTAGACTCCCAGCTGAAACAACTTTTGCAGGGCTCTGAAGAATACAAGGTATCAAATTTATATCTGTCTTTCAACCCCGGGTTCTGCAAGCGGCAGCGCTGCCGTTTGTGGCTGTTCAGTGGCTGGTTCTGCCGGGCTCGCTGCAGCCCCCGTGTCCGGCGTCGGAACGCGGGAACGCGCGTCCGGCTCGCAGCGCCGAGGCCTGTTCTTAGAGCAGCCCCGTGTTCTTCGGTTTGCGAGCTGGAGCGCACATCATGGGACTTGTTGACAAGGAAAGGCCTCACTGAGACAATTGGCCTCCTTAGCCAAAAGCTGCTGGAAGCCATTAGTGTATCCCAGCCAGCAAACTCATATTCGCACATATGGTAGCGTATCGGGGCTGGAAGGGGAGTTAGTGCAGGGTCGTCTGTTTCTCTTGAATCTTTGATCTTAATAATGTAGCATTATTCAACTTGTCAGACTGATTTTTTTTTAAGAGCTTTAACTATTCATTATCGCGAGAAAATAATCTCATGGAGTACAATAAACAGCTCTTTACAGAGCACCTATTGTAGCAGCTCCGCTTCCTCCCTTGAATATCCTTCTTTTTCTCGGAAATCTTGTGATTCCTCCCTCAATTATTTTTACAGTCCAAGCAAGATTAATCAGTGAAGGTGTCAGGTACCTGGTCAATCCGAGTGGCCGCTGCAGTGGGACAAGTGCCAGGGAATCGCGTTGGGGCTCGTGTTGTAGCGGTCCCATCTCCCACGACAAGGGGTGGAGGGAGTCAGTTTGAATCTGAACTCGGGCAAAACGTGGAAATGAAGCCTTCAATAAATGCTGAGCTGCTACAGTGGGTTGCAGAACTACTGGCTGTTGTGAAAATAACTTGTTATCTTTTGCCTTTTAGACGATCCATGATCAAATTTTACAGGAATATCGGAAAATTAAAAAGGTAAGTAAACATATTCAGCTGTGAGGAAGGCTTTGGGGAAGTGTCTGTAGTGGCAGAAGAAGTGGGTAGTTGGCCAAGTGGAAAAAAATAAATCCAGAACTTTCTGAGGAGATGTCAAGTTTGCTCAGCTAGAGCTCGCCTGGAAAGGGGTCCCCGGTCACGGGGAGCAAAGGCTGCCCTGCTGCTCGTGAACGTGTTTGTGTCCATGGCACGTTAGCAAAAGAATGGATACGTTAAATTAGTGTTTGTCGAGCAAGATTGCAGCTTGCATTTGGAATGGGCAGGCTGAGAGGTAACGGCATCCTCTGCCCGGGGGATGTTTGGGAGCGTTTGAGCTTGGCCCCGGACCGGGGCTTTGGGGCCCGTTGTCCCATGGGCTGGGGTCCCACAGGGCTTTCCTGGCAGCCCTGGGTGTCTAGAGCTGACGTTTCTGCCCGGAGGGATTTGGGGCTGGATGAGGGAGCAATCCCGATCCTGACGGGATCCCTGCACCAGGTGCTGTTGTCTTGTTTCTGGTGGCCCATGCGTGGGGCCCTGCTGTCCTCGAGGGGTTTGGGAGCTCCCTGGAGCGTTTCCGTGTGTCGCAAGCCCCGCTCTGTTCCTCAGCCTTGCACAACGCGGTGCTGGCGCGGGGCGAAGGGCAGGGGACGGGGCTGCCGCGTTCGGGTCCCGCCGCGCGTGTCCCTCCTCGAGGGGAAGGAGGGATCTGCCTCCTTGGGCTGTGCCGACGGAGCAGCTCCGAGCTGGAGCCCCCGGGCACGTCCTGGTGCTCTGGGGTCAGGGATGTCACCGAGTCCCAAGAATCACCTCCTGTCACCGCATTTCTTTTCTCTTTACAGACTAACCCCAATTACAGCCAAGAGAAGAACCGCTGCGAATACCTCCACAACAAACTGGCCCACATTAAAAAACTCATAGCAGAGTATGACCAACAGCAGTTTTAGCTGGCGCTGATCCGGACTGGTAGGGCAGAAACAAAGTCACGTGGATGTTACGTTCCCTTTCCTACAGCTAGCTTCCTTTCAGAGACGAGCATTAATCCCTCGTGCTTGGAAGAACTCGGGGATCGCTTCCGATGCCGAAGCCGCCGCGCCAGCGCCGGAGCCAGGTAGCAGCCCCGCGCCTGGTGTGATCCTCTCCAGCTTTAGCCTCTCGGAATGTCGGGATGTACCAAGTGAAAAGCCGCTTGTTCGAAGCCAGCGTTTGACACTGAGGGAAACTTAACGCGAAAGAAGCTCCCAAAGGTTCAGAATCGGTAGTTTTCATGGATTAAAGTTTGGCATGAAGTATAATTACCCTTGACCCGGCCCCACGGGGTTGCAAATTGTCCTTCAAATGGTGAGGAACTGGAATGCTGCTAGGTTACCTCCTCCTCCGGCACCTGCGACTGTTCCTGCGCTCCCCACGGCCCCGCGCAAACGCCCCACGGCCCCGCGCCCTCCTCCTGCCCTCGTCACCTCCGCTCCGTGTCCCCGCGAGGCCCGAGGACGGGGACGGCCCGGGAAGCCGCGCGGTGGGAAGCGCCAGGGGCCTCTCCGGCACGCGCCGTCCCGGCCGCTCGCGCTCCCGGCGCGTCCCGGGGCTGGGAAGACTGAGACCTGTCTGTCTTTGACTTTTATAATTTTATACCAAGGCAGCCAATTTTATTAATTGCTGATGAGACTATGGTCTATTTTTGTATAAAAAGAAAAAAAAAAGCATCTTTTTTCTAAAACTGTGCCTCCCTTTTCCTTTTAGGCCAAGTGTTTGAGAACCTTTCCTGTCTTACAATTGCAGTATTACTAAAGCTCGCTGGATAGTTACCCAGAGAAGTTATTTTATTACCTGTAAAGGCCCCTGAGGAAGGCTGGGGGTGGGGGGCGATGCTTTCTTGTTCTGTTTTGTGCATTTCCAAAGAAGCTGCGGCAGAAAATCCCCGTTCTCGGAGCAGGCGCCTGGGCTCGGGACGGTCAGGTAGCGTTTCCACGCGGGTCGCTCCCGCTGTCGGGCTTCATCCCGCCGGCTTCTCCTTGCAGTCTGTCTTCTCCGTTCGTTTCGGACTCGAAGGGAACACTTCAGAGCGCGGCCAGGGCGCGAGGAACACGCCAGAAAGCACAAAGGTGCCCTTGAACTCTGCGATTTCTTTCTCTTTCTCCCCAATCCCGCCTAATCCCGGCAGCCTCGGCGGTGTCCCCGGATCGCGGCGTGGAGGAGCCTGCGGTGTCCCCGTGCCGGGAGCCTTTCCCCCCTCGCGCAGGGAAATGGCAGAGTTGAGGAGGGAAACGGCTCCTTTGCGAGGAATATGGCGTTTTTCCACCGGAAAACGTGGGTCCACCTGCTGTAAAAACAAAAAAGACAAAAATCCCCCGTTCTGGCTAGATGGTCCCTCGCGCTCTCCCTCCGGAGCAGTTTCTCTCCCTTCCTGCCGCGTTGTCCCCAGCCCAGCGGAGCTTCCCGGGATCCTGGCGCTCCCGCCGGGATCGGGGCTGGGAGGCGCGCGGGGACCTGCGGCCCTTCCAGGGACAGGAGGCGCCGGCGGCCGCGGGAAGGGGAGACGCTCCCGTTGGGAAGGGCACGGGGATTCCCGAGGGCTCCCGTCGGAGCCCGATCCCAGCGCCCTTCCTGCAGCCGCGCGCTTGTCCGGCACCGGATCCGGCGGGAGCGCCGGGCTTGGGATCCGGAGCTGCGTCCCCACAGGGACAAGGGACGGGGGTGGCAGCAGCTCCATCACCGCAATGGGTCAATTCTTCCATGGAAACACCTCCCTTCTCCTGGTCCTTCCCGTTTCCCATGGGGGGTTTGCCTCTTTTTTTTTTTTTAATTATTATTATTATTATATTTTTTGGGGGGAGGGAGGGATAGAGATGGATCTCAATCTTTATACATCTGCTATAAGATATTTTTGCAAACAGAGTTGTATACAAAGATGTATTGTGTACATTTACGTGTATATTCTGGAACTTCTAAAATTTGAATATAAAACTGAAAATATTTAATGAATATCCAAACTGTGAGACCCAATTAGCATTCAACACCTTTCTGCTTCACTTTTCTTTTGGACTGTGTTAAAGAATTGTAGTCAAACCTGCCTTTTTTTTTCCTTTTTTTTTTCTTTTTTTTTCTTTTTAGAGATTATGAAGCTAGGCAAATTTTGTGCTTTTTGGGTTAATAGAAACCAGTTCTAGGTGATTAAGTATGATCTTAACTTATTGATACTGTGTTTTACTTTGTAATATTGTACTGTGGATAAAACTATATTGAGCCATGGAGTTGGAGTTTACAACAGAGCTTTTCACTTTGCCAAAATGTTACAGTTTAAAGGCAGCATAGTCTTCAGCTTTCCTAATCTTTTCTTAAGAGCTAGTGTCTTTTTTGTACACTAAAAAGCTGAATGCTGATTTTGCAACATATAATAAATTCACTGTATTGGAAAACAAGCGAACAATAAGGTTGCATGTTTCTTTTCAGTGCTTCTTGCAGCAGGAAAGCGCAAGGTGATAAACGCCCGGCTCGGAGGCCGTAAGTTTGGAGGAGCCGAGTGCTTTGGGCTAAAGTGGCCGAGCCCAAGGTAGGAGAGGTGGGAAGGGAGGGAAAAGGGGCAACGGAGGCCGCCCCGCGCGGGCAGGGAGCAGCGCGTTCCGTGACGCGCGGAGCGGCCGGGGAGCTCCGGTTTTGGGGTGTTATTGAGGGAATGGGGTGGGATGGGG